TGATGAAGTATTTTGAGATGAGCTTTATGATAACCTTTGCTATCACAAAAATGATGTAACACCTAACTATATATATTACTATATTAGCCCGTTTATAACTATTTTTGCGGGTCAAACGGGCCCGCATTTGTCCCTCTAGTTCAAAGTGATAAAGCGCAAACCTGCCAAAATGCGTCATGGACATAAAATATAATAATGGCATTTTTATTATCTTAAAATATTTTTAAGAAAAAGTATATATTGAAAATTTTTAAATATATATTTTAAAATCGAGTAGCTTGACAAGCTAAAAAGTCGAGTTGGACTAAGCTAGAATTCAATCTGGATCTTGAGCTCATTTAATAAAAGAGCTTCGTTATATGCTCGAGCTTAAATTTGAAACTCGATACGCTCGACTCACGAGCTAGTTAACAAGTTAAATTTGATTTAACTCATGAGCGAACTCGGCCCACTGACACCATTATTTTTTTTCCCAAATAATTTAGGGAAATTTACATACATATCACTTTATATTATCCTATTTACATATATAACACCTAAAACTTTAATATTACACATACACCACTCTATATTATTTTAATATCAAATATGCCACTCATATTTCCTTCATAGCACTCATATATTTCATTTCTACCACTCATATTTGACATGAAAATGAACTAAGGGTGGTATGTATGTAATATTAAAGTTTTAGATGTTAAATATGTAAATAGAATATTATAGGATGGTATGTATGTAAATCTCCAAATAATTTAACATAAAAATTGCATATAGCTTTCTACTTATAAAAGCGGATGCTGCGGATCTCACCTCGACACCGCCACATTATAAATGTAATTTTTTTCGTCCTCAAGGGTTGCAGCATAAATATGATATTTTCTAGGGTTGTAAGAATAAGTTTCCCCATCAACAACTGAAACAGGCGGTTGAGCTGCAATGATTATGTACACCGCTCGTATCGAGCCGGCGGCATGAACTTTGGAAGGATTTTAAAAATATAAGTCATTAGAAAATTTATTTGATCGGGATGAATTTCAAAATAATATTTAAATTAAAATTTTTAAAATCAAAATCTAGATAATATTTAGATTAACAAATTATTAAATAAAAAATTAAAAATATTTTAATTCTTGTTCTAATAAATGATTAATACTATCAAAGTAATCTGACTCGACTCCGAATAAGTTAAAATTAAATATTTAAAATATAAGTAAAATTTTTATAAATATTAATTGGCCGATCAAATGATCTTTAAGCCTTATTTTCTTATAGTCAAATTGAGTGGGATTAATCAAATGAGTTTAAAATCATTTAATTTTGACATTTTTAAGATATTCAAATACTGAATAAAAAATATATATGATAAAAAAAGATCAATATGAACCATTTAATGATCATCACCTTCGATTTTCAGCACCACATAGGCTTAATCTTATAATCTTTAACTACAATGAAGAAATAATTCTTGCAATTTTTTATTGTTTTGATGATTCATTCAACTCAATTAGGCCCTGTGATTTTTCCTTATTTTGACTTTTCAAGTAAAAAACTATGATCATTTACAACTTCCGTGTATTTATTCTAAATATTTGTACAAAACAAAAATATCAAACACATATTCTACGGCTATAAATTTGTTAGCACTAAAGTGTTTGAATTTTATAGCGCTTAACAATTTAAGAATAATTTGAATAAATTTTGATTTGTATCTCAAAATTATTAAAAATATTATAACTTCTTATATATTATATATTGTTGCATGCTGAAATATTTGGGACGGTAGATATAGAGGGTTTAGCGTCTTAATATTGTACGAAGATTCACATTCATACATATATGAAAGAGGGATGCAAGAGTTATGATAGACGCCGAAATTTTTACGTGAAAAATTCTAAAAAATAAAAAATCGCAGGGCTTGGCCCAGTTAAAATGATTACACAAGTGTTTGCAGTTGATTATAAATGATGTCCTTTCACACGGGAAGGCCTTGGTTCAATGTAATAAATATACATCATATAAAGCACATTATATTTGTGTGAGTTGAAAGAATTTACTGATATAAGAGTACTTTTAAAAGAATTGTTGGCTTTGTTTGTTTGATTAGGGTAGTTAGACGATGAAGGTCAGAGGGTCTATAATCAGGCAACTGAGATAGATAGAACTGTTTTTGGGTGATAGAGATCAAAGGGATTATAGTCGGCAGACGACGGTGGTCAGAGGAATCATAGTCAGTAGACGACAATGATCGAAGGGACCGTAGTTGACAGGCGAAAGACATCAGAAGGACTATAGTTGGTGGCCCATGGTGATTGGAGACCATAGTCAGCATGCGATGGAGGTCGGACAAAAGCCCAGTGATTGTTACCGAATTAAGGTTTGACGATGATGGTTGGGCTGATGTCCAATAACGAGCGAAGTGTGGCAATGGTTTGCTGGTGGTGTCGTCAAGGTGGTGCTTCGGGATACTTCAAACCTCAGAACACTTTTAGGTCTTTAGTCCAAGTCTAAGCCTAAAAAAATTCCAAGCTTCTCCAAAAGCTCTTGCCTCTATAATGTAGTAAGAGGGGGGCCTATTTATAAATTTTGATATTAACATATGCCCTGTAATTATGAATGAGATACAAAGTAAAAGTGCAGTGCTCAATTGGATGACTCATATTGATTACATCGACCACAAAGCATTTGTCAAGCATTTTAAGTGCATTAATGATGTCATAATTAAGGGACAGTGGGCTTGTTGGATTAGTCTCGTTGAGCCTCTCAATTTGACTATAACCATGTCATATTTGAATATAAATTGTACATCCAACTAATATTTTGGACCTTCCAACTTTACTTTAAGTCCTTGATTTAATATCATGTGGGCTCAAATTGGTCCGATTTCGTCTAACTGAGATGTTCAATTTAACCATAAGTTTGCTAAATTTGGAGTTCACATGATCCCGCATTTAATTTTGGAAATTGCTAACTAGAATATGCCTGAAGATTCGTGCACGGTCAAAGCAATTTATGACTACTTATCATATATTATTTTAAAATAAATTTATATTATTTAAACACAATGAAAATAAGCTTTTATTCTTAAGTTAATTTTGATCAAAATATCATCATAAATTTTTTTAAAATTTTCATTACCACCGTCCATTTATAGGTCACCACATGCATTCATTGAAAATGCCAGGAGTGGCTGTTTACTATTGTAATGCTAAAAATGCTACTAACATTAAAGTTTGGTTTGTGAAATATTTTTTACTATTTTATAAATTATTTTTTTTAGTTTAAAAATTTTTTATAAAATAAAATTTCTTTAAAAATTAGTACAAAAGCTATAATAAATGAAGCCTAAATTAGAATTTAATTATTTAATGGAGATTTAAAACTTTTAAAAAGGCTAAAATAGCAAGAGATTAATTTCGGGCATTTTAGTTTGGAAGCGAAGTATTTTAGTTCAAATGCTTATTGCTTCAAGTAAACAAAAAGCCACCAACTTTAGCTTAAAATATACGGCTAATTTTAAATAATTTTTCATCAATATATATTGATATTATATAGTTAAATACTTTGTTAATTATATAATGCGCCGTATTAGATGTATTTCAATGATACATGTAGATATACGTTGATCAATTTATCTTCTCATAAATATTTTCAATATATTATGAAATATGGGTAATTAAATAGGATACATAATATTTAGTGCATAATATAATTCATGTAATTTTAGAAAATATTGAGGCTTAATTTAAAAAAGTATATACTTTTAGGGGTTGTTGCGGGCTAGAATAAACGCGGTGATAGAATTATATTTTTTCGTCTCAACTTTGTATGGATATCAAACACAAAAATGGAGGGAAAAGAAAACATAATTATTTTTATGTGGAAACCCTGAAAAAAAGGAAAAATTATGGGACCACATCCAATTGAAATGATTCTACATGTGCTTGAATATATTACAAGTGTTTGATTCGTCATTGAAATTGAAGACAATCATATTATAATAGTTAACCGTCGAGTCGAAATCTAGTGGTGAACGAAGGTCAGACAGAAGTCCATCATCAGGCAGAAATCCGGCGTTAGTCAGCAGTTTGACAGAAGTTTGCGGTCTGTTAGTGGTATGGTGAAAATATGGCGTCATTCGGCGGTCGGACGACAATCTGGTGTCAATTGGCGTCCAAATGGAAGTTTGGGGTTAGTTAGTGGCCGGGTGGTAGTTTCGCGGTGATCGAGGAGTTTGGTGACAAGAGAACTCTCTGCATTCTTTTTCTTGCTTGAGTCCCCTCACCATGAGAAACGTGAGATTTTTTTATAATTTTTTGAGAGTAACATAATCAGAGGAAGATAAAGGGTAAGTTGTGAGTGATTTGAATGGACGGTCGTTGTGGATTTCATGGATTGTGGATCCTTTTTGGGCATTTGAATGTCTTAATGATATCAAAATTTGACGATTTTGAGCTCATTGGATTTATCTCGTTGAGCCGCTCGATTCAACTATAAGCATGCTGTGTTTGGAAATCGCTTGATCATCAAATTTATGATTTGAACCTTCTAAATGTGCATTGGGTCTTTGATTTGTACCCATTTGAGCTCAAATTGAATCGAATTTGATGTTGTTGGGTTTGTATTTCTGAGACGTTCAATTTGACTTTGTTTGCTGAAATCAGATGATCCCAAATTTACTTTTGAAAGTTTCTAAAATAATCTTGCCTTGAGATTTGTGCCTGATTAAGACAATATTTTGGACGGAGAATTTGCTATTCAGAATAATTTTTTTAATTATTTAAATTTTTTTTATTTGCTCTTTAAATTAAATTAATTGAACTGCGATGGCGGAGTGGCCTGTACGTTATTGGTCCCTTTGAGAGTCCCTAATGATCTCTCGCGAAACGGACAGCTGAGATTGAAAGAACCCTTTTATCCAACAATATCAAAATAAAAAAAATAAAAATAAAATAAAAATAATCACATTAAGTAATTGAATTTATATAATTCACGAAGGAATAGCTCAGAGGTTCACGGAGGAGAGAGAAACCAGTGGCGGCAACAGTAGGAGAGAAGTCCGTTTTCTATCTCATCTGCTCCTGTTCGTATCTTCGCTGTCCTCACGTCTGCAACATCTAGGGTTTCGGATTTCTTCTGTGCTACTTGCACAAAATTTACTTGATTGAATAGATCCACTCAGGCATTTTTAGAACCTGGAATATTGGTCTTTGGTACTTGATTTTAATTTTGAGCTTCTTTGGCAGCGTAGAGGAGTAGTAGCTCTTCCATGATTTATTTTGGCGATCTCATTAATGTCTTTGGATGATTTAGTGCTGGAGGAAGTTTTGTTGCGGAGATTGTGGCTAGATTTGATCGTATTTATTGCGTGTTTTGATTTTATCATTTGTTAGGTTTTTTTCGTTTTTGGAAATTTTTAGAATTCTTTTGGGAGATTTGAAGTTGGGATTAGGATATTGTGACACTTGTAGAAAGGTAGGAAGAATCGCGCAAGGTATTTCGGGGATTTATTATCGTCTTTTTGAGTTATTGGGAGTAGATTGAAGTGAAATCCGATGGCTTCAGTGGAAATGCCGAGCCCCGGAACCCCTAACTCAAAGAAAAAGACAGCGACGGAGAGAAATGCAGTGATCGCGAAGAGGAAGACGACGCCGGAGAGACCTTTAGCGACCACGAAGAAGAAGCCTGCTCTGCAGAGGACCTTTGTGCAACCAAAGAAGGGTCCGTCTGTGGATAGGCTCAATAAGAAGCCTGGAGCTGCTCCTAGTCTCCAGCCTTTGCAATCGTTGCCGAGCGACTTTAGATTCACAGGTGGATCTCTGTCCGAGGAGAGAGCAGAACCGTCCAATCTCGCTCCTGTCGCTGAAGGCAAAGACGATGTCAATGTCGGAGGTACCACAGAAACTAGTAATATTTCAACGTGCATGGAAGAGGAGGTTGCTAATATGTGTGCCTCAGCGGAGGAGGATCCTGATGGCTTTATCAGGGTGAACGATGAATCGCCGTATAGTTCAATTTCCACTGTCGGTGACGAGAGGAATTCGCAAGATGATGAGAGTTCGTCATTATCTTCTCCTTCTTGTTTGCCGGAGAGTTTCTTGTCCCGGATTGATTCCAGATGGAGTGATACCAGCTCTTTTGGTCCGAAGAAGGTAAGACCTTTTTATATATTCTTTTTTTTTTTTTTCGTTCTGTTGAGGTATGTCTGTGCTAAGAATTCATAGGATCCAATGATCGACTCTTTTGTCAAAGATCTTCATTATTCGCCCTCCTTTTCTTAATGCATCATATTGTATCGGTGACTGGTTGAAAACAGCAAACATATAACTAAAATCATTGTTGTCTGGTATTGTATGTTTAGCTTATTAATAAGCTGCCTATCCATCACCTTATTATTGGAGAAACATCATTTTGTAACCATATTTCCTCAGCTTTGTCCTATTCGACGGTTACGGTAATTCTGGCATAATAAACAAGCAAATTTTCTGCATATAAATTACGATACATGTAACTGGAGCATTACTAGTTAACTTTCATAGTTGTGCTTTTGCTTCTTGTTTTTCATTTCATGAATTCTTTCGGACATCTGACTATTAAAGTTAGAAACTTGTAACACTCAAGTGCCAAAAAAAAAGGGGAGATTATCTTTGTTTGTAAATGTGCTGCAAATTTCCCACTGCAAACATTGAACAAAATCAGAGATAAGCTCTAGTTAAAGCTTTTAAAACAAAGAAGTCTTTGCCCATGCATTGTTTGCTAAACAGTTTTGACATTGCTTTTCTCATTCTTTTCTATTATCAGTATCATCTTACCCTTATTTTGCATTTGTCCCAATAACTCGCAGAGGCTTGGCATTTATCAATTAATTTGATATATCCATACAACTTCAGAGATTTTCTCATGCAGATTCTTATATTTATACTTGGATGAATCCCCTACTTGGATATGATTTGCAATGCGTGAAAAATATCTAGGATGCTTTTTCTAACTGTGATCTATGTATGATTTATTTTACTGATGTGATAACATATTATTGATTTATTAAAAAAATTCATCTTGTTTCAGACGATTCATGCTTGGTGCCAACTTCCTAATGGAGAATGGATGTTAGGGAGGATACTATCAACTTCAGGGGCAGAGTCAATTATTTCTCTTCTAGAGGGGAAAGTAATCATTTTATGTTTTTGTTGTTGAACGCATATTAATTTTTTACTTATAAACGATCTTTAGCTTAGCCTAAAACTTCTTATGCAGGTATTAAAGTTGAAAACAGAGAGTATTTTACCCTCAAACCCTGAAATACTTGATGGGGTAGATGATTTGATGCAGCTTAGTTATTTAAATGAACCATCGGTGCTCTACAACTTACAATATAGATATGATCGAGACATGATTTATGTGGGTATCTTTTTCTACTTCTTTTTTAGAGTTTTGTTAGCATGGAATTACCCCCAATTTCTGTTCATTTAAGATGTTAATGTGTTGACAAGTTTCTGTATTTACCATTTAGACCAAAGCGGGGCCAGTGCTGGTTGCCATCAACCCATTTAAGGAAGTTCAACTATATGGAAATGTTTATATTGAGGCATATAAGAGCAAATCTATAGATAGTCCACATGTTTATGCTATTGCTGATACAGCAATACATGAAATGATAAGAGGTTATATTTCACATAGTAAATTTGTGCATTCTTATATTGTAATTTTTTTCCCTCTGACCATGATTTTCTTTTTTCAGATGAAGTCAATCAATCCATAATTATAAGGTGTGATCTCATTAATTTCCTCATATGCCCCGTAAAATTCTATTCCTTTTCAATTAGCGCATTCTTACAACATTCAACACTTACTTCTCAGCTGTCATGAGTCTTTTTTTTTTTTCCTCCACTTTTCTTTCTTTTGGTAGGATATTTTCTTGGGTATTGTGTAATTGTGTTTTTTTTTCATGGAAAGCTTTTTATATTATGTATTCGTATAAAAAGATTAAAGTTGGTTCCATTAGTTATTTGTGTCAAATGTGTTGATTACTTTTTTTTGGCAATGCAATTTAATTTAAATTGAAGTCTATCATTCTTTGTCCACTACAAGCTTATCTATCTTTGTCCGCTTGTAGTGAATTAGATGCCTCAAATGTGCTAAGCATGACCTTCTTTTCCAGTGGCGAGAGTGGAGCGGGCAAAACTGAAACAGCAAAGATTGCAATGCAATATTTGGCTGCTCTTGGAGGAGGTACTGGGATGGAATATGAAATTTTACAAACAAATCCAATTCTTGAGGCCTTCGGGAATGCAAAAACTGCAAGAAATGATAACTCTAGTCGCTTTGTAAGCTTCTGGATTCTTCCTAATATTTTTAAGAAAAGATAGAAGATGCGTTTGGCTTTCATTACTAAGCAACTTAAAAATCTCCGTTTTTCAACTTATTCTTTAAGGCTGCATATTTCTGGTTGAATATGCTATATTATTATTTTTATATTTTCATTTGGCAAAATTTTCTGTACACTCCTGCAGGGAAAGTTAATTGAAATTCATTTTAGTCCAAACGGAAAGATTTCTGGTGCAAAGATTCAAACTTGTAAGAATGTTTTTAATCATATAATGCTTTTCCCCAAATATTTTCTTTTGGTAGACTAAACTTTATGTATTTCATTTTGTACCTTGGTACTGTGTTCTACTTGGGCCAGTTTTACTCGAGAAGGTATATTCTTTTGCCTAAATAATTTTTTTTTTCAAAAGTTTATATCTAGAAGTTACATAATTATTTGTACATTATGCAGTCAAGAGTTGTCCAGTGTGCAGCTGGTGAAAGGTCTTATCATATTTTTTATCAACTTTGTGCTGGTGCTTCAAAATCTCTTAGAGGTAGGCCACTTTGTTCTAACATTTTTTTAAATGAGTTATAATACTCTTAATCCGACTTTGTATTGCCAACTTTATTGCATTTAATTTGAAGTTTGTTGATTGCTGTTATGGATTATCAACTTAACCTTTCAAAAGACCTTAGAGTTTGCTTTTTTGTATTCTCCTTTTTGTCATTCAATCCTATCATGGGTGAGGGCCAATCCGTATCTATTTTTTTTTTGTTGTAAAATCCTCAAAAAGTACAAACGATTGTATATGAATTCAAGACTTAAAACCAAAGGTATGTTTGAATATAACATTGAGAAGAATGCAAAGATATATTGCCTCTAGACTAATTGAATTGCTAAACTACTTGAATGTAAGTCTACGAACCTATTTATTTCATAGCTTTGACACAAGTTTGCAATTGGATGCGAATCTAACATTAACCCTCAATCATTCTTACATGGGCTGAGGACTAGCAATGATGATAACCCAAATAATAATAATAATAATAAATGTAATAATAATTTCTTTTAGACCTAATTTTCTTGAAAAAAAAAGTACTAAATAATGAAGGAAGAGACGGTGATGGTTGTACACACTTAGGGAGCTGCCAATCAATAAAAGGAAAGTCCAAGGCAAGTAAATGTTGCAAATGGTTTATAGCCTAACTACATCAACAAGCAAAGTGATGCCTATAGCTTGAGGACAAGCTAGGGGTGTAAGTGAGCTGTGCTGACTCGCGAGCCACTTCAAAGCTGACTTCAATATTATGCAAACGTAAGGGCTAGTTCAACAATGAGGCTGTAAAGCTCCAGTGAGTCATGAAAGTGCAGCATTCTAAAGGGTTAATATCTTTAGCTAATTTTTTTTCTCTTTAGAAATATGATACAAACATTTCCTTAAATCTACAAATTACATCTTAGCAATACTTACTCTTCTGCTTTTAACCATGTCTGTATTGATCCAATGTTAATATTTGCAGGGGCGTCTTTCGATAGTACTATTTCTGCACCTTTGATTTCGCCATCCCAAAACTTTTTGCTTGCTATTTTAACAAAATTTAGCCCTTATTTATGCTGCATTTATATTTTTGTGCCATGTGTATTTCTCCAGCATTCCAATCCATGTATCAGAGCTGGTCTTATGCGACATTACACTTTATGCAAGTTGGTAAAATATTTCTGGACCACCAAATCATCTTTAAAGCAGTTACTTCTGAAGATCTAACCTGAGTTGTTAAGCTTTGAGTGACAGTAACGACATTATCTGAACTTTAGATGAATACCCTTAAGAAACATATAATTGAATGGAATTCTGACTTGTTTTATTGAATTAAAATGCTTACTGACTTCTAGTGGATGGTTCTGGAACAGAGCAGCAATTTTATTAAGTAAATTTTGGAATTAAGAAATTTTTTTTTCTCCTGTCATGACGTAGTTCATCACAGGATAGGTTATGGACTATTTGATTTCCTTTGCTTCTTATTTGTTTCAGTGATTCATGAAGATTTGATGCGCTGTGAAATTCACTTGTTTAGGTTTAAGATTCATGTTTGCTTCACGTGCCAATTGTATCCTATAAACCTGACATTTTATATCTAACCTCCAAATTAATTATGACCACTCACCTCATGCTACATCTTCGTGGGCTTTTTGAACCTTTTGAAACAGATAAGTTGAATTTGAGAAGTGTGGAAGAGTACAAATATCTGAAGCAAAGCAGTTGTTTTGTTATTAATGGGGTCAATGATGCTGAAAGGTTTCAATCTGTTATGGTAAAATAAAACATTTTCTTTGCTGTGCTTCGTGAACTAGTCTAATGCAAGCCCAAAGAATGTTATAAAAATAAAGTTTACTCCTTCCAGGCAGCTATGAAGGTTGTGCACATCAGACAACAAGACCGAGATAATGTTTATGCGATGCTTGCTGCCATTCTATGGTTGGGTAACATCTCCTTTAATGTGATTGACAATGAAAACCACGTTGAAGTTGTTGCAGATGAAGGTGCGTTTCCTTAAAATAAGTTGAGGGAGAATTCCAATTCTGTTGTTTGTTTTATAAGATGCTTAATAGTTGATATCAACCTAACATCAATATTTCTCAGCCTAGGATTGGAACTGAAAGCCTTAATTCATAAATCCTATGCTAAAATCTGTATTCTGTTTTTGCTATTACTGACCAAGTGTACTTGTCTTTCATGCTTCTAAAGAGTATGATTTGCATGACTATCATAAAGAGTCATGAATGGTTTTAAATGTAATTCTGTAAAGATTCTTTGTTTTTATGGTTTTGAGTGTTCTATTATCAAATAATACGTTGATGAAAACTCAAATTCTGAAATTATTTAATGTATTGAATTGGTTTTTGAGATCATGGATTTAAAACTTGGTTTTGATTTTGGTTTCAATGTCATACAAAGTTTTGTGGTTTTGACTGTTTTGGTTTTCTTATTCAGTTTTTTTAAGCAAGTAAAATGTTTAAAAAAAGATCAGAATAATGTATTAAAAATCAAAATTTGAATAATAAATATTAGAGGAAATATCAATTTATTAAACAACATTTGTAGACCTATACTATGCTGCTCGTGTGTCCAAATATATGTCTCATAGATCGTTGGAGACATTAATTACGGCTCTATATTTATTTGAGTTTTTAACAATACATTTGAATGGTTGAAAATAAACGTTTTATCAACATATTTGATTATATCCTAAATTTTGAACATGAAGCATATAATTTGTAATAAAAATAAACCTTATAATGTTAAATATTTTATGTTATTTTTATTTTTATTTAGTGTGATAAATTATTTAAATTGGAGAATTAAAAAATTTCTATTGGGGTCTTCAATGAAAAGGTAAATGTTATTTTCAAGGAACAATTCATCTGAAAATGGTGTTTTTATTAGAATTATTCTTCATTCAAATCCCGAGTTGTGTGTGAGAGGTTACTTTTTCCAAACATTAAGACAGTGGTGGTTTAAGTTTAAGGGATTGGGAAAGATGTCTACCAGATTTGATCAAAGTTGATTAGGAACACACAATCAGATTAATTTCTCAGCTTATATTTTAGATATTGAATGAGATACTCACAGTGAAATGTGCACAAGTTAGAATGAATAACTTTTAGGCACGTTGCTTTTCATTATTCACTGAAAGGCCTATCATCATTAGTAACAAGGAATATGTTTTTCATTTTGTAGTTAGGTGAACCTTCCTATAATAGTTCATTTCTGATTCATATACTAATTAACATTACATGAAAAATATTCTTTATTTATGTCAAAAGAACTTCTTGGACTCTATAATCTTTTTCATACTCTTAAATTTCAAAATGATTATTTGTTTATTGAAGTTCTTATATTTGTTTCTGCATTGCAAAAGTGCACCTGCTGATATTACTTCTTGGATTTGAGAAATAAATCTTGGTAAATGCTTTGCATTCCAACTCAAGGACCCAAGAAATTCTCTAGAGCCTTAATGGTTACAAATGGTCTGTATTGAAGGCTATATCATGTGTCACCACACATGAATCTAAAGACTTTATTTGATGTATGCTATGGAATTGAAAATAATTCCTAGATCTTTTCTATTTACATCTCATTCATATTTGGCTTAAAAATATAATCCAATAAGATAAGTATGCAGTTGCCGTTTCCTGGATTATAATGTTCCATGTTTGGTGACTATTGAATATGGAAGCTAGCGTTGGTACTTCTCTAATGTTAGCTTGCAGGCAATTATCAGCTTCTTGGGTAACCTATAAACATTCTTTAATAATGTCTTTTTTTCCTTGAAATAACAACTTAATCTCTCCCTGAAATTCTTTTTAATTCACACTTTTGTCGTCTATTTTTATTTGTAGATTTGCATCTAACTGATAGGAAATACTTGAGTTCGCAAGTAATCCAAGAGGAAATACTTGAGTTCGCTAGCAACCCTAGCAATAATTGATAAAAACAGCGAAAATAATGTGAAGATCTTGATGAAATCAATCCAAAATGATAGATTGCAATAATGAAATCAAAGCAAAAGCAAACCCAAAGTAAGATACAATTGATCCTCAATTCAAGAGGATCGATCTCTCCCAATCTCTAGACGATGAATCTAAAGCCCAAGACTCTAAAGAAGAACTCCAAGCCCAAGACTCTAAAGAAAAACTCCAAGAGAACCCTCAAAGCATGCATAACCCTAACCCTAAACAAGCCATACTATTAGTACATTAATTCCCTAATTCAAACATCCCTAATTCAAATTTTCCCTCTCACCCTAGCTGCCCAAACCTCTCTCATCGAATTGCTCCTAGTGGGGCCCACTAGTGTGGGCAGCAAGAGGTAAAGGAGGTGGCACATGTCCGCCTCCTATAGACCTGAGCCAGCCTTTGGGCCGGCTTGGTTCTGAACCGGCCTAACACTAACTTGACATAATGTTGTCAGTTTTGATCTTTATTTATTGCTTTATCATGATGAAGATGAACTTGGTTTGATGCTGAAAGCAATATGTTGGGGATTGATCCTTATTTTTATCAATATGGCTACTAAACAAAGATTCTTTGAATTTATTTTGATCAAAATGAATATGAAAATGAAGTCTAGGCCCACAATCTGATATATATAACCAAGACAAAAACAGTTTTACCTTGCTGATGAAATTAATTTCTTAGAAAGTTGGTCTTGGTTTATTTAAACATACCAGCATAAATACATATTTGAAGCGCTTTTTTTTAACATGAAATTTCCTTTTGATTACTGCCATTGTATTATGCATACATTTAAAGAGCTGTTAGCACTCTATGCGACATTTGTTAATTGTGTGGCCTTTTTTTCAGCTGCGCAAACTGTGTCCAAATTACTTGGATGTGATATTCAGGATTTGAAGTTGGCTTTATGTACTCGGAAAATGAGAGTTCGAAGTGATACTATTATACAAAAACTCACATTAACCCAGGTTTCATTCTTTCACATTCAGTAACACTATCTCTTAGCGTCCTTTTAATGTAGCATACTATTTGTTTGCTTTCTTTTACTAGGCAATAGACACAAGAGATGCACTAGCAAAGTCTCTGTATGCTAGTTTATTTGAATGGCTCGTGGAACAAATTAACATGTCACTTGAAGTAGGAAAGCGGCGAACAGGAAGATCAATCAGCATTCTTGATATATATGGTTTTGAATCTTTTGAAGTAAGTAGAACATTCTCTTTTCATGTTTTTGTATAACATACTATTAACATCATTTAATATTTTGCAGAAGAATAGCTTTGAACAGTTCTGCATAAACTATGCTAATGAGAGACTGCAGCAACATTTTAATCGGCATTTATTCAAACTAGAACAGGAGGTATTGTTTTTGACATTTTTAATAGCATTACTGTTGCATCTTCTTTTTTGTTCAACTGTAAATTCTTTAATGCATTGTTACATTGTTCTGTCCTCTATGCTTCCCATGAACAATAATTTGATTTAATATTGAACTGGAAAGAAGTACAATTTTTTTTTTGTAATGTCTTGAGACCTAGTGAGGGGATTGTGACTTTGGGCGATCAAGTCATTAATAAGAGTACACGTTTTAGATATTTTGGATCTATTGTTCAGAGTGATGGTGAAATAGATGGGGATATTATCAGCAGAATTCAAGTTGGATGGTTGAAGTGGAGGAATGCATCGGGCTTGTTATGTGATAGAAATGTACCCCTCAAACTTGAGGGAAAATTCTATAAGATGGTAGTGAGGCCTGCAATGCTTTATGGTGCCGAATGTTGGCAATTAAAAGAGAAGCATAATACTAAGTTAAATAGAGTATAGAGTGATACTTAGGTGCAGGAGGTTTAGATATCTTAAATCCATTATACCAAGGTATAGATGTGGATGCTTGTAGAGTCAAATCTGGGTCCTAAAATTTAGAATAAGTGCCTTTGTGGTAAAGTGGTGAGTGAATGTTTTTTAGATATATGTTGTATCAATTGTATGATATACTTCTCAGAATAAGTTGGAATTCTTTTGGCGGTAAGATCCTCCTGAGAGTAACATAGGTCTATCTCTCTGTATTTTGGAAAAAGAGTTCCTATTTTACAGTGAGAATTATCTGATAATTATGTGGCATCCTTCCTTGTTATTTCCCTAATAAATTTGATTCTAGTTCTTTAGAATGATCCCAGCCATTTACTGTAGATGACGAACAAATTTCATCAACTTCAACTAATGATTGATTGTTGGTCAATTACATTCTAAATTTTACTCACGTAGGGCATTTTTTGGCACAATATTCTCTCAAGTAGAATGAAAAGCACTAAAATCTAACTATATTTTTTTAATTTGGTTTTGATTCTTCAAAAATGCTTTATTCATAATTTTTTTACCGTTAATTTTGCTGTAACGTTTTTCTGATGTCTAGCAAAGTCATGACATTTTATGAACATTAGACTTTAGTTATTTTCAGTAATGTCGACTAATATCCACTTACTGGCTTTCATTTTGTAGAGTTATTTATTTTCATGGTTGAAATCGATTGGAAAGTGGGCGATAGGCCTTTCTCTGCTTCATTGGATTGGAAACCGTCTATATTTATCAATGATGTTAATATATGGTGTTCATAATTGTTGATATATTTTGCTTTTACTTTATACTTCTGATGCTATCTGTAGAACGCTTGCCCAGCCAAGCATGTATAGAAAAACTTATGCTTATTCCATTTCAAATTGTGTCCATCTGCTGTTGTATATATGTAGATTACACAAGTTAATAGTTTTGTTGAATGATGTTTGTGTTTTTATTTAGATTATTATTGAGATTATAATAGTTTTGTTAAACAAAAGTGCATTTGTCTCGTCATTTGATTAATTTCTTTAATAGAAGATGATTCATACCTTATTACTAGTTTATTTGCTCTCATTATTGCTTTATGTTGTAAAATGACTTCATTTTTTTTTATTAGCTTATTTTCAGCTATTTTTTCTTTTTGGGAGCTAGAGCACTTTCAACAAATATTTTACCGTTATATATGTTTGAAGTACATCACAAAAATTTGAACAAATAACCTTATTCAAAGATAATTGTGTTGTATTTTTAGGAATATATTCAAGATGGCATAGATTGGGCAAGGGTTGACTTTGAGGACAATCAGAATTGTCTGAAACTTTTTGAGAAGGTATGACTGTGTTCCATGGCCTATTTTGAGAAAAAAGTACGGATTGCTGTAAGTGATCACTCTATGCTTCATTCTGCTTAAGCCTCTTTAGATTATTATTTCTGAACTAAGTCCGTTTTTGAGGTTTCCCAAGTGGATTCAGTTGTTACTGATGGTTTGTTAGATATTCTGTCTTCTCATTTATTTTAATGCCAGCCTTTGCTCATAAAAGAAACTGTAAATTTTGTTGCTTTTTGTTGGACTGCTAATTAGCTTTAATCTCGTGATAAAAAACCACAGCTTGGAAAACAAGCACATTGCCTCAATTCTTCATGACTTGGGCTTTTTTATGTTCTTCGTGCTTACACTCATTATTCCCTGAAATGCAGTCCTTTTTTCATGCATTAGTTTTGAAACACATTTAAAATTGGATTTCAAGATGTTTCGCTTTTATATTTAGCCAGGCCATAATATATTCATAGCATGAGTTCCCCGGTGGCAATCCGCTTTCTCAGTACAAGTATTTACCTTGACAGCTTTTTTGAGACCAAATGCCTACACATTACATTTTGATTTAGAGCAGGCCGGAGAACTGTGGTAGTTTAGAAGAACTAAGAGAGAGTAAAGGGAGAAGTGTATGAGAAAGAATTATGCAATACTGAATCCCACAAAAAAGGGCATGGAATTATCAACTTTCATAGAGGTGATCAAAATTCTTAGGGAAGCTGAAGCTTTTTACTTTAATATATAGAGTAATCAAGCATTATTCAAATACACCATTATGAGTCATTTTATCGTAGTGCCTTGAGTAAAATGACTGCAGTGTTCACAACAATTTGCAAATGACGCAAGCCTTAAATAATAAATAGCATTTTTGCTGAGAAAAGACAAAGGCCAAGACTATTCCACCTACAACAATACTGGCAGTAGGTTCTCACCATTGATACATTAACATTATCAAGCTTCTGAAAGAATTTCTTTGAAATCATGGAGATCTTCATTTATACTCATGGGATGAGCTTGGTTGACTATCATTTTTATTATCGAAATTTTTTCTAATGCATTTGAGCCTATTGTTTCATTAGATTAAGCTAATTGGATTAGGATGGATGGATTGACCCAGGTGGATTTGGTTGATTGCGTTAATCTAATTGTGTCAGTAGGGTTGAGTTTTATTGAGTTGGGTTTGATTGGGTCAAGTTAAGAGTATTTAAATTGTTTGAACTGAATTCGTTGTAAGTGGAGTTAATTGGCTAATGAGCAGTTTTTTTTAATCGTTTTCTTAAGAAGGGCCAATTATAGAAAATCTAAATTGGATCTTTGATTCCATGCAAGAGGGAGAGAGGGTGGTTGTTCATTGGATGGGAATGGACCCGGTTTGATTTTGAAATGTAAGCAAGTTAATTATGTTGAAGTCTAATTTTTGTTTGAATTTGGAATTTAATGTAAATTAGTAAATTATTGAGGGCTTTTAGGAAGGGATGTGAAAATGATTTAAATTTTTAAGTGGAGTTTTGAATTTGAAGAGGTGTGGTGGCCTAAGATTTGGTAGGATATCATTTGTGAGGAGAGAGGGAATATGGGTAGTTGAGGGGTGGGGGTGAAATCCTAAAGGCAGTCTTTGATCTATTTCCATTCAAGTACAATCAGCATTGTTCATAAAAAACTTGGGATGCCTTTATGATATAATAGAAGGCCCTTAAGTAGAACATCCATTCATAACAAATTAGAAAATGACATAAAAATCCTGTGATAAATGACTCTTTGACCACTGAGAACTAGTATAAAGACAAATAAGGACAAAGTAAATGTTGACTTATTTTGCTAATGTGGAACTTCTTGAAATGAAATGGTTGAATAATTGAAACATCAGAATATTCAGTGAAACGTATTGAATGATGAGATTCAAATTGAATTTTTGGTAGGAGGTAAATGATTAAAAAAATTGTGATTGTCCGGAGTAAATGAAACAAAAGATATGGTATAGTTGACATAAATAAAGCACCTAACAAAAGATATGGTATAGTCCGAAGTAATTGAACACTTAAAAGCAAGCATTTGATTAATTAACTTTCATTATTATTATTATTTTGTTATGGACCTCAACACTTCTAAATTTTTTATTGCGTTGTGTATGCTATCCGATCTTGTTTCTAGCGATTTTGTGAAGATTAATTTCCACTTTTATGCAGAAACCATTAGGGTTATTGTCTCTTTTGGATGAGGAATCTACATTTCCAAATGGTACAGATCTGACTTTTGCAAACAAGCTTAAGCAGCATCTTCATTCAAATTCTTGCTTTAAAGGAGAAAGAGGCAAAGCTTTCACTGTTAGCCATTATGCTGGGGAGGTTGCTATTAGGACCTTTTGTAAATATTAATTCACCTTTGCATGATATACTTCTTCCACTTTCTTACAGTTGCTGTGTTTCCTTCACTCATCAGGTCGTATACGACACAACCGGTTTTCTTGAAAAGAATAGGGATCTATTACACATTGACTCCATTCAACTTCTGGCTTCTTGTTCATGCCACCTTCCTCAGATATTTGCATCTAAAATGCTCACCCAATCTGATGCACAAGAAGGCAGTCCATACCGTTCCAGTGGTGTGGATTCCCAAAGGCTAAGTGTTGCGACAAAGTTCAAGGTATATATGCCTTACACTCTATGTAAGAAATTCAAATGCTGAAATTTATACATAGTCTAAAAAAAAAACCCAACCTCACTTTGAGGGACCAAAACCTTACTCTGATATTAATTATAAAAAGTCTAAAACTCAAATTTGATCTGAGCTTTGGTGCCTATTAGCTTTATCTTAACTTGAAGTTTCATGTGAATTGTTTTTTTTAAGTTTTAACAAACTCTATAACAAGTTATCTATATAAAAAGTCATCTGTTTCTTTTAACAAACTCTGGTTGCCTTGATTAGGGGCAACTTTTTCAACTAATGCAAAGGCTCGGGAACACTACACCTCACTTCATACGTTGTATCAAGCCAAACAAGTTGCAACTTCCTTCAACTTATGAACAATCTCTTATACTCCAGCAGTTGAAGTGTTGTGGAGTTCTTGAAGTTGTTCGTATATCCAGATCCGGTTATCCTACCAGGATGTCTCACCAAAAATTTGCTAGAAGGTGAAATATTTATTTTGTTTTTGTCCATTTGTTTCTATCTTATTCATTTTGAAAGCATTTTCTCCTCAAATTTGCCATGAAGGTAAAGTTTGCAATTTTATTGTTGCTGTTCTTGAAATGCAATCAACATCTTTTTATTTCTAAATGCATGTGCTATTTATGTTTTAATCTTTCTCAGATATGGCTTCCTTCTCCTTGAAAATGTGGCTTCTCAAGATCCGCTTAGTGTATCAGTAGCGATTCTTCATCAATTTAATATTCTTCCTGAGATGTATCAAGTTGGCTACACCAAATTGTTTTTCCGTACTGGACAGGTAATTTTAAGCCTTCAATACACAGTCAGTTACTTGAATCAGGAAAGAAGGTAATCTCCATGCAAAAGTTGACTATCATAGATTGATTATTGATATAGTCCGTTCTTCTATGGAAATCAGTTAATTTTTTTTTATTTCTTACTCCTAAATTTCTAGTACTAATTTTATTAACTGATATGTCAAATGATAATCAGTTTTGATTATTTACTATGTATATTTTTATGTTTTATATTGCATGCTGCATATCTTTTGATTATTTAGGTGAATTACATTTCAGTTTCTAGGTTGATAATTCTTTCATTTTTATTCTCTTTCTTTAATCAGTGTATCTTATTCAACTTGTTTTTGCTTACTTATTAAATTTATTATTTGTTACGATTCAATTATTGAAAATCATCAGATCGGTACGCTTGAGGATACTAGAAATCGTACTCTACATGGCATTTTAAGGGTTCAGAGTTGTTTCAGAGGTCATCAAGCTCGTCTTTATGTGAAGGAACGCAGGAAAGGAATTGTCATGTTGCAATCATGTAAGCTGGTTTCTACCAAAATTTACTTGATATATTTTTTTTTGTTTTTATCATGAAATGGAGTGTTATTTGATGCATTTCAGGCAGCTAATGTTATTGATAACTCCTAAAGAAATTCTAAATTATGATTTCTTACATGAACAGATATTCGAGGTGAAAAGACGAGGCGGATATATTCAGACCTTTTACAGAAACATAGAGCTGCTATAATTTTACAGAAATATGTAAAATGTCAAATTACCAGGAAACATTATCTGAGCATTCGGAATGCCTCAGTTGTTATACAGTCTGGTAAATATCTCAATTTCTTGCTCTTGTTTATCAAGTCGGAAGTAGCTGTAGGCAGTCCTCAATCATCTGATACCTATTTTTTTCTTAGTTATTCGTGCACGGATTGCAAGAAGGTTCTCTGGAGATGGTTTATCATATTACGTCGAGCCATTTGATGAAAAGAGGGTAATAAGCTATCATGATGAACTTTAAATCTTTTTTTTAATGCTAGCCGATGTATGAATGAAGTATGGAAGTTCTCCTTGATCTGATTCTTTTTTTTTTTTCTTTCATCATCATAGTTAGTCTTATCCAAACTATTTGCCACCAACTTTATTCATTGCTATTCTTCTTTCATTCGTATGTAGTGTTGATTGGGGTGCTAGCTCAAATTTTCTTTGTTTTTAACAGATGCGTGGCATTAATTTTGCATCATTTTTACTTTCTAATCTTAAACCCTAAATCTTCTTCAGCAATTTAATTGGTGTTTTTTCTTCCTCAAGAGCACTTGCATTTTCCAAGACTCTTCTGGGAGAACTCTAATGTAGTCCCTCCCAGATATTCCTCGGTAAAATTGGGTCAACACCAAGCCAGCCAACCTCTTTCAAAGCTAGTTCAGTGTCTCTTCTCTAACTCAATTTTTGGTGAAATTATTAGGTTTGGAAACCGGACAGAGAGAATCATTCGGATTTCTTTTTGTCTATAATAAAAATGCAGCCAAAGCACAGTTATTGTAGTAGTTGTGCTTTGACTACGATTTTATTGTAGACAGAGACAACCGGATGATTCTCTCTATCAGGTGTCCGCGCCTAATAATTTGCCCAATTTTTGTCTCTATGATCCTAGTAAGACTTAAGTAGGATTGGCAAAATTTCATCCAACAATTCTAGGACATACAATCCAACAAAACCTAATTGTGATAATTAAACACTAATAAAACTATAATATTATTAATGTTTGGACTACTCAATCCCTAATTATTCTAATCAATATCTGATTAGTTTAATTAAAATATTTACTCAAATTATCTCTCTCTCTCTCTCTCTTAACTGTGATTTTCATATTCTTCTTTTAATTGGTGGTTTGATGCTTTCCTTTAGTTTTTTTAACACTAATTTGCTTATAACTCAACAGGCATCCGAACCTGGCCAAGTGCTAATCAAGGCATCTGTCCTCGCCGAGCTGCAGAGGAGGATTCTGAAGGCCGAAACCAATATCAGGGAGAAGGAAGCGGAGAACGAAGTGCTTCAGCAGCGACTCCACCAATACGACAATCGCTGGACTGAATATGAACAGAAAATGAAATCCATGGAAGAACTGTGGCAGAAGCAGATGAGATCATTACAGTCCAGTCTTTCCATTGCAAAGAAAAGCCTCGCCATTGATGACATGGAGCGAAGGTCGGATGCTTCCGTCGACCAAAGCTGGGACAGCAGTGGCAACCCAAATGGGGCCGAGAGCGGCCCTCGACCCGGTCTCCGTTTAACCGGCCGAGATACGACGGCCGGCCTTAAAACGATCAGCCATTTAACCGAAGAATTCGAACAACGCGCCCAGGTGTTCGCCGATGATGCCAAGTTCCTCGTCGAAGTCAAATCTGGACAGGCACAGGCAAACCTTGATCCAGAAAAGGAGCTGAAGAAGTTGAAGATTTCGTTCGAGTCTTGGAGGAAAGATTACAGTATTCGGCTACGAGAAACCAAAGTTATTATAAACAAGCTGGCGAGCGAAGAACCCGGCACTCCTAAGAGGAAATGGTGGGGTAGGTTGAATAGCTCCAGGCTCGTGTAAATATATTTGAATACGAATGGAAGGTGAGATTTTATTTGTTCAACTGTGTTGATATTGATGATGGTCTAGCTATGAGTTTAATTTTGTCTTGTGTGATTGAGAGAGAATTTGCTTGTAGCCCTATACAAGTATATATTTTGATAGCTAGCAATGCCATTTATTATATCCGATTTAGTAAAGGATAAGCTGTTTTTGTATGTTTGATCTGCTTTTCCTTTTATATTTTTTATCCTGATTTAATTGTTAATTTATGGAGAGATTATTCTGTGCGGACGGCAGACGCAGCTTTATGTCTGAAGGAGAACAGATGCAATCATGTCAGCGGTATCGAGCGAAGGGATGATGTGGCGCATTTTGATTGGTCTTTGGATGATGTTCGGCATCCGGAGGGAACAAAATTGGGTTGTTAGGATTGTCTATTTTTTATGAGAATATAAAATTGATATTATTATATAAATGTTTAAATATTTTACAAACTTTATACACACATCAAAGGAGTAACTAGTAAACATCAACATTAAAATTACACAATCGAATATGGAAAATCATATTAGTGATAATTAAACTAATCTAATTTATGAATAATCTATATTTGATAAGCGTCTTAATTTATAAAATGATTTAAACAAATTGAGTTAAAAAATAGAAAAATTTCTATCTCAAATAAAGGCGAAGGGCTCAAATCGCATTCTGATGCCTAAAACTGTGAAAGGAGTGTTGAACCTTTTAAGTATAAGCTAGGTAGGCTTCCTTCGAAGATGCATTATTGTAATGTAAGATATGAATTGGACTTGAAAATTAGATATTTGATTTTAAAGAAAATAAATTATATCTGACGCAACAGTCACTTTTAGTATAACTTTCGGTGTTTATTTTTGGGTCATTTTAATTTTTTTTTCGTTGGTAAAGGTGGCAAAATGTATTAATAGGTTGAATTTAAATTTGATTTGAAATTGACTTGATATGAATCGAATTGACTTGAGCCTGACCAGTTTAATAAATGAGTAAAACATGGACTCAAGCCTACCTTGCTAGCAATTTAGATTACCCGAATCCAACCGGGTAATATATTTGTTTTTTTAATTATAAATTTGGACCTAATCAACTATATATTTAGATTTGTTGCGGCCTGGAATACTCACGGCGGTAGAGAAATATAAAATATAAAGTCTTAGCTTTGTCCGAAGATCAAGCACACAAGCAGATGAAAGAGAAGGTGTAACGTTCATAAGAGACACCAGAGTTTTTAACGTGGAAACCCTTGAAAAGGGGGAAAAACTATGAGGTCTAATTTAGTTTGAATGAATCCACTATTATTTACGGTCGATTACAAATAAAGCCTTTCCTTGGGGGAAGACTTGGGTTAATGTAACAAATATACATCAAATTACATGGTGGAAATTGAAAGAATTAATATTGAAATGTTTGTTTGGTCGGCATGACCATAGTCGATGGGCGATGGAGGTCGGAAAGATTGTATTCGGGTGACAATGGTCAGACGGACAGTTGTCGGGCAATGGAGGTAGGAAGGACCGTAGTTGGCGGGAGACGGTGATAAAAAATGCAATTGTCTGGTGATGGAGGTCGGAAGGATCAGGGTAGGCGACAGAGGTCGGAAGGATCGTAGTCGGCATGAGACAAGGGTAAGAAAGATCGTTGTTCAGTGATGTGATGGAAGTCAGAAGGACCGTAGTAGGCGACGAAGGACGGAAGGAACGTAGTCTGCATAAGACAGTGGTCAGAAAGATCGTTATCTAGTCGTCGAGGTTAGAAGGACCGTAATATGCAATTGAGATCGGAATGACTGTAGTCAACATGAGACGGGGGCCAAAAAGATCATTTTCTTGTTGTGGAGGTCAGAAGGACCGTAGTCTGCAGGTGATGGAGGTTAAAAAGATCGTTGCATGTCCATAGAGGTTGGATGGACCGTAGAAGGTGACAGAGGTCGGAAGGACTGCAATTAGTAGAAGACGGGGGTCAGAAAGATCTTTGTCTGACGATGAAGGTCGGAAGGACCATAGTCGACAGGAGACAAGGGTTAGAAAGACTTTTGTAGAAGGTGGTGGTTCGACAGAAGTCCGACGTTAGATGGCGGTCAAGTGGAAGCCAGACGTTAGTTGGTGGTCTAGAAAAAGTCGGGCATCAGGTGGTGGTGCGGCAGAACTCTGGGTGAAATGTGGTGGTTTGGTGGAACTCTGGAGTTAGGTGGTGGTCCAACGAAACTCCGAGCGTCAAATGTTGGTCTGGAGGAACTCCGGTGTGAGGTGGTGGTTCGGCCAAACTCTAGGCATTAGGTGGTGGTCCTACGAAACTCCAGCATCAGGTGGTGGTCCAGCGAAACACCGGTGTCTGGTGGTGGTTCGACAGAATATTGGTGTCATGTGGTGGTCCGATGGAACACCGAGCGTCAGGTGGTGGTCCGACAAAACTCTGGTGTCAGGTGGTGGTCCAACGGAACACCAGGCATCAGGTGTTGGTTTAACAGAACTCCGGTGTTAGGTGGCGGTCTGATGGAACTCCAGTGTCATGTGGTGGTCCGACGGAACTGGTGTCAGGTGGTGGTGTTGCGGAACACCGGTCGTTAGGTGGTGGTTCGGCGGAACTCTGAAGTTAGATGGTGGTCCGGTGGAACTCTAGGCATCCAGGTGATCGAGGAGGAGCTAAGGGGAAAAAGCGATCTCTGATCTCTCTCTTGCTCTCCTACCTCGGGTCTCCTTTCAAGAGGAACCAGGCCTTTACTTTTAGATTTTCTAGGGTGGCATTTGGACGGTCGATGTTGGGAGTGGTTCGTATGGACGATCGATATTGATTCCGTTGATCATGGAACATTTACTGGACATTTGGACATGTTAGTGACATCATTTGGACATCCTAGTGAGATCAGAATTCAGTGATTTTGGGCCCATTGGATTTGTCTCGTCGAGCTGCTCAATTCCACTATAAGCATGTCACGTTTGCAAACCGTTTGATAATCCAAATTGTGGTTTGAATAGTGCTTTGGGCCTTTGATTTGGACTCATTTGACCTCGGATTGAGTCGAATTTAGTGTCGTTGGGTTCGTATTTCTGAGACGCTCAATTCGACTATAAGTTTGCTAAAAATTGAGTTCATATGCTCTCGGATTTATTTTTTGAATTTTTTACTTGGTTTTCCCTCGTGATTCGTGCCAGATCAAAATAAATTTTTGATGATGTATCAAGATTAATTAATCAAATTTTAAAAATTTATGGATGAATAAATAAAACGGGTAAGTATTAGGTTTATGAGTTAACTCAAACTAAATGGGTCAAATTTCTTGGCTGAACCAAACCCTTTCATTAAAGTGATCAAACCAAACTTAAAATTTATCTGGTAAGATTGGTGAGGTTGAATTATTTATTTACACTCATATCTTTGGATTACAAAATCCAATGTCATCTATTTTATAATTTATTGTATATTTTTATTTTATGTTTATTAAATTAAATAAAAAAAAATTTAAATATAAAAATTTCATTTGCAAAAATTTATCTCAAATTCTCATTTCAATCAAACTTAAATACACTTATCAATATAAAAATAAAATAAAATAAAAAACTTATCAAACACCCCCCTAAGAGCATCTCCAACCGAACGCCAAACGAGCGTATGACGTCGTTCGGTCGCTCCAGCCAAACGATAAATATTCCGTCATTTGCTTGCGGGTGAACAGTGCGATGTCAATATTGGCGTCGCACTGTTCACCCATGCTATTTTTCTCTCTCAACCGGAAAAACGCGCGAAAGGAAGAAGGATCGTTACCTTCTCAGAATCACATAAAATGGAATTTTTATTGCGTCCTTCCACCTGACGTAGAGATACGTCCTCCCAGATGATTCGAGCTAAAAAACGAGAAATACCGAGCAAATACTGAGCAATACCAAACAATAACGAGGAATATCATCATATGAAGACTAATACCGAGTTATATCGAGCTATACCGAGCAATACAAATAAATACCTAGTTTTTCCTAGAAAGAACTCGGTATTTTTTTGTATTGCTCAGTATTGCTCGGTATTGCTCGGTACAGCTCGGTATAACTTGGTATTGGTCTTCACATGATGATATTCCTCGTTATTATCAAATAATACCTAGCAATACCGAGCAAAAATTGAGTTTTTTTTTGCGGTGGGAGGACGCATCTCTACGTCAGGTGGAAGGATGCAATAAAAATTCCATAAAATGACGTTCGATTGGACCACAACCACGATATTTTGGAGTTTTGCGATATTTTACGGTGAAAAAGTTCTCCATTAGAGATTCCCTAAGAGAAAGGGAATCAAAAATTAATATTTTTCATTAAAACTCGTAAAAAGTTTATGTAAATGGCTTCTTTAACTTTATTTTTTTCGAAATGAATGTCTATACTTCCTTAAAAAAACAAAGAAAAAGTAAGGTAAGAGAGAGAAAGAGTAATATTTTCGAAGGGGAAAGGTTGGGGACAGTTAAAGAAAAAGGAGAGAAGCGAGCTTCTCAAGGCCGAACATGATCAGATCTCTGATAGCAGAGCTCGACCACCCATATCTTCTCTCTCTCTCTCCTCCCACTTGTCTCGTTCTGTTTCTTTTCCGTCTATTATTAAAATAATATAAGAGAATTTAATGCTCTCTCGTTTCTCTTTCTCCAACAGCTTCATTCATTTTGCTTTGGATTCGATTTACTTCCAAACATTCTGTCTTATTATTATTTTAATATAATGTAATTTTAAAATTTTAAAATAATATCATGAAAATTTATGGAGAATATATTTATAGAAAAAAAGAGAGGAAATTTTATGGATTTTTTGTTTCATAATTACTAAAATTAAAAAATGTATATGCATTCTATTTATTAATTTAGAAAATTATATTTAAAAGTTAATTTCATATTAAGTTGGTTTATAGACAAAAAGAAGGGTAAATTAGTGTAAAATAACATTTAAGACATATTCCTCCAATAAATGAAAACATAAATAATATTTCTTCAATTTTGGGCATTGAATTAAGGTGCATATAAAGTGAAAATTTTCAAATTATATTAGGAGATTGTGATACAAATTGTATCAAAATGAGCTTAATATTTTTAAAATTTTATTTGAGATTGAGGGTACATAAATGATTAGTTTTTATTATACTAATCTCAAATAAAATACAAGAAATTCTACAGTCAGCATGAACTAATTCGTATCATAATGTTCTG